ATTCTTGTTTGTTTGTTGTTGTTGTTGCTGCTGTTGTTGTTGTTTGTTATTCGTCCGGAGACGGGTTCCGGATTAGGGTTTACAGGTTAGGGTTTCGGGTTTAGGGTTTCGGGTTTAGGGTTTCGGGATTAGGGTTTTGGCTTTAAGGTTTAGGGTTTCGGGTTTAGGGTTTAGGGTTGAGGGTTGAGGAATTAGGGTTTTTTTTTTTGACACCTCTTTTCCTCCTGAGCGGTTAACTAAGTCGGAAGGCCTCAAAGGCTGAGGTTTCGGCACCAACGACGGGCAGAGGGGATTCACCACCATCACATCCCACTAACGACTATGCCCCATGTACTACCTGAAAGGAACACCTCCCTCATCCCAGCAGTGCAGCTAGTTCCAGCGGCGCTCTCAGCCCTATATGCTGTGCAGAAGCTCAGGCGACGATACTGGACAGGAAGACTAGGCCGGCTCCGCAACCTATTGAAGTAAAAAAACTACCATAGGACTATGGGCTCGTAGGGGAAGCTCGGGTTGCTGCCAGGGCCAGTACATATTGGTGTCGCGGACAGCAGTTGTGGTGAAGATCTCTTGGAGGGGGCGTACACAGAAAGTAAGGCATAAAGTATCATGACGGCCTAGAAGGCGGGGCTGGGCTAGCCAGGTTGGGAGGCACTCCAACGAGATCTTCACCTCGTCTGATCGGGATCCTACCCTCCTCGAGGCTTTCAGCTCGAGTCATCAGACGAAAACTCTCGGTTCAGCCATTCCTGATGCTCTCTCTCTTGTTGGCGATGCCTTTCCTGTAGATATGCTCGCCTCGTGAGAAAGTGGTGCCATACTCCACTCCCTTGCGCGTCAATCACTGCCTGGTCACTGATCTCCCCGAGCTGCCACCGTTGAAAGAGGTCTCGCTGCGACGTAGTGACGTTCTCCGGCGGGTTGGCCTCCTGAACGGTTTCCTGCTGTGCCGGGTCTCGTATCTGTGCGGTCTCCGTCGGCCTTCCAGAGCATGGCGGCTGTGGTCCTGCGGCGGTCTCCTCCTGCGTGGGGTAGCGTAGTGTGGCCTCATCCATTGCCGTATCCGCGGTCTCATCCGGCTGCTCGGGTGGGTGCTCGGCTCCAAGCGGGGGCTCTTCGCCATCATCACTCCCACACTCCGCTATCGTAGGCAGGTCATCCCGCTGTGCCCTCAATGCCTGAATCGTGGGGCGGCCATACCGCAGCCAGACCACTTCGTCGTTGAGCGTTCCCTCCCTCCATTGGCGGTAGTCCCTGGCAATCTCAGGGCTGCGCAGCCATCGCCTCCACGATTCTCCGAGGATGTGGTCTCGCAGGTTCCGGCCCAGCTTGGCTTCGTTTCTGGCCCGCCGGCATTCTTCGAGGAAGAGGACCATTGATCTGCCGTGCTGCTGGGCCACGTCATCCGACGTGATCTGTCCTCGTGTCCATCGAGCGAAGAGGTCCATGGTGGCTTCGTCTTGGAGGGAGTGCTGTTCTGGTCCCGGCGGCGGACGGTTCTCAAGCAGGGCCGCCTCTGCCTCCGCAATTTGCTCCTTGGCCTCCTTTGCGTTGACGGGCCTGCCTCCTTGGAACATACGGGGAGCGCTGTCGGTGAGGCTCAGCTTGAGGTTGATGCTTTCCCCCTCTCCAATTTCTATCTCTTGGTAGTGGGAGCGCTGCTCCGTAGTGACCTCGATCTGCAAGCGGAGCTTTTTCCGGGTGCTGCCCCCAGACCATCCCAGATGCGCTTGCAATGCAGCTTCGTCCTGCCGCTTCGCCTCCGCTGCAGCTCTCTGGATGTGCCAGTTGTAGAGGTCAACGTCGCGCTCGTTCTGGGCCTGTAGCTCCTTTTCATGGTCCTCCGCTTGCACATCAACGGTGGAGACCTCCTCCGAGGGGGGTGATTCCCACGACGACGCCGCTCCAGTACCCACCCCTTCCGGCTGACTGCCTACCAACCTCTTGCGCCATTGGTCCACCCACGAGGTCAGTGCACCTGCTTCTTCGTCTGTGGTAGTACCTGGCGGAGGTTCCGAGTTGGCCGCCAATACCGCTTCCAAGGTGGCCCACTCGGGCATCTGCATGAGGTGGTCTCTTCTGCTTGAGCTTCATTCTCACCTTCCCCGCCGCTAGGCGGGCTCTCCATTCTGGCAGCGGGGCGGAGGCTCTGTAGGCGTGCTGCAGGACCTGGACCACTTGAGCTGCATATCGGTCCAACTCCCCCTGTGGTGGCGGCTCTGCACTCGGTTGCTCCGATCTCATGCTTTCGAGGTGCAGGGCTCTGACCACACCATTCATGTACACCTCCATTGTGTGGAGAAACATGCACTCTTCAACCTCCCAGGCTCTGCTCAGGATGCTCCATGTCAGGTCGGAGTTGTCAGCTCCTCTTCGAACCAGCTCCTGTCCCTGGTCCACTAATTCCCAGAACCAGTCCGCTGCCTGTCCAACAGGGACTTCATCGAAGGCACCGGCTCCGGGTGCATTCCACAGGGCTGGTAACCACTTCCATGCCGTAAAGAGCGAGGTCTCGTCTGCTGTGACCACTCCTTCCCTCGTGCTCTGCTGTCGGCCTCGAGCATGTTGAGCTCGGTCAGCTGGATGCGAAAGGAGAGGCCCAGGTAAAGGAGGTGCTCCTGGGCCGGCTCGTTGGGCTGGTTGGCCCGGCGATCCGCGCAACCCCTGGCCGTCTTGTTGTTTTGGTGATCCCCTCCGGGACGTAGGCAATGGTCGGGGTTGTGTTTCGAGGTGCCGGCCATCATGTTGGTCAGCTTCCTGCCCAGCTCGGCGAGCTAACACTGGGTCGTCCAGTTGCGGTAGGAGAGGATCGGGTAAAGGAGGCACTTCTGGGCCTAGTGGTAGAGGTCGGACTTCTGGCTCTGTCAATGTCAATGTGCGTGGGCTCCCGCGGCTTCTCGGTGTTGGCTGTTGCAGTGATGTGGGCTGCGCGCCATCGCCCTCTCGGTCACACGGTGAGTCATAATCGTGTAGCCGTGGTCCTCCGGGGCTATGAGGTAGTCGCGCTGGTAGTTGTGCGTCTTGCATCGTACCCGCAGGGGGCTGTGCATGGCGGGGGCCGGGCTCCCCGATCTTCATCAAAATTGGCTTCTCCTCTCGTCGAAGGGCACGATCCGTCATCACGAGGGATCGCCCCGATGCCAGCTGCGATTGCCGGGCATCTTCGAATTTGCGGCCCCCCTGATCCCATCGAGGATCGTCTTCATCATGAGGGAGTGCCAAAGCTGCCACCCAAGGCAGCACTGCTGTCGCAAAGAGTCGCCACGCCATGATTCACGGGCTGGCGAGAGCAGCAAAAGGCTGCGAGGGTCAAAGGTCGGGTTTGTCAAATCTCCAACTGCAAGTTCAGCTTCAAGGCAAGAACAACTGGTTCGCACTGCAGAAAAGGCGTTCACGACTGAAGGTGTGCTGTAGTACTACACGGAACTGCTGTGTTACTGCGCATGGTGTGAGTGTGTCGTGGCGGTATCTAGGGTAGCATCGTGGTGGGGTGCGGGCAAATTGCTAGGGGGGAAGGCATGTCACCTGCTGGGTTCATTCGCCCCCTCCTCCGCAATTGCATGCTGGGGCTGGGATTCGGGTGTGCATGTGCTTGCTCCGGGAAGAGCGAGCTGTCTGCCTGAGGTCCACGGGACGTCCTCTCTGCGGAGCCACTCTGCTTGAGCTTGCTGCCAGGCCTTGGGGTCGGCCTCGAGCTGCCGCCAATCGTCACACCCAGCCGCCCTGTTGAGTCGCAGCTCGTCGTTGGAAAGGTAAGGGTAGAACGAGGCGGGGTGACGCAGTCCATCTGCAGTCCTCTGCTGTCGCTTCCACCACTGGTAGGTGCGGAAGGCGTCGATGACGCTGCTTGCTGGAGGCTGTTCTCGGGCGGCACCTCTGGCAACGTGGCCTTTGTAATTCCAGTACCTTTGCAGCCAGAGCGAGCTCCATCGCGGCTGTTGGTTGTTGGCCAGCAGCTGTCTCGCTGCTCTCCGGCTTCGGGTGTGGTATTCTAGCCAGGTTTCGGAACTGCGCCTCTTGAACCCCGCCATGCGGGAGACAAGTTCCAGCTGCATGCTGTTTACTGCTCCAAGCGCTTGAGGGCTGGGGGGGGCTGCCGAAGAGTACCACAGTGCTGCACCGCCCACTGTGGAGGCGAAGAGCTTCAGACGTTCCTTGAGGGGGGTTCTGCACACTGCACTCCAGCATTGCCCGCGAGGCAAAGTACTTCTTCCTTGCCTTTGCCAGGGCTGCGTCCATGAGGCTAGCCGGCCTGAGGGGTACGCTCAGGGCAAGGCCCATGACTTCTAGGCTCTCCCGAGGTTGAACCTCGACTCCATCCAAGGTAAGTGGGCCCTTCTCCGTGGCATGCGGGCTCGCGTAATAGGCCGTCTTCTTGGGATTGACCTGGAGCCCCCATTCACTGAGGCTACGCTTGAGGATGTTGTACTTCGCCAGGAGGCTGGCCTGGTCCCCTGCCCACATGATGCTGTCGTCCATGAAGAGCAGTTCGGATAGCTCAAGGTCGGGCGCCGCCCCAAGCCTCCGAGGCCACCCTCGAGTTGACTGTGCATCTCTGAGCGCTAGTTCCATGGTTAGGGAGAAAAGCCAGGGGCTCTCTACTGCACCCTGTCTGATCCCCCTTGTCTGGCTTACATGTCCCTCGCCCCACGGCGTTCGGACGGTTGCCTTGCCGGGTGCAAGTAGTTGACGCCAGCTCTCAAACTCCAGGTGCACGTGTGCCGGCAGTACCTGACGCAGATGTTCTAGGGCCTTGGATCGGTTCAAGCTATCGAAGGCCTTCTTGATATCAAGCTTGACCCAGTGGAGTCCCCAGCGCCACTCGGTATCAAGCTGGAAGGATCTGATCGATGCGAACACGTAGTCGGCCGTCTGGCGTCCTGAGTGAGAGCACTGCTCCGGGCCTATCGGCCCGATCGCGGCCCTGGTACGCTGTAGGAGCATGGTACCATATACCTTACCAACTGCGCTCCCCAAGCTGATCGGGCGGAGGTCTCCTGGACCGCTGGGCGCGGTAACTTTGGGGAGCAGCGTGACGATGGTATGCAGCCACTCTGGTGGGATGGTCCCCCCTCTCCGGATGCCTTCCATCCAGTTCAGTATGGCCTCTGCCGTGGGTCTGTCCTTCATGAGGCCTTGCAGGAGCTCAAAGGAGGTGAGGTCGCCTCCCACCGATTTACCCGTCTTGCCTTTCTGGACTGCTGCTTCCAGCTCACTCATGCTGAAGGGTTCCGAGTCGCTGGTGCTTCTGTTCCACTTCGGAAGCGGCTCCAGCTTAGGTTCTGTGAAGAGCTGTTTAAAGTGGGCGACCGTCCATTCATGTGGTTCGTGCCCCGCGCTGTAGGCTTCCTCTGACATGTGGACTGCCCAGGTGTCCCCACTGGCCTCCTGCTTGATCTCCCGGTAGTCCTTCCAGTTTCTCTGCTGGCAAGCTTTTCACCATGCCATCTGTCTCTGGCCGCCCTCCTTTCTTTGTGGGCTTGCTTCCAGTCAGCCTCACTGCCACTATGCTTTGCCTGTCTGTAGAGGTCCTTGACCTCCGGTGGATCCCGGTAGCGGGTCCCCGGCTTCGGCCTTGTGTGGTCGCGAGCAAGCTTCATAAGCATGTCCTGGTCGATGTGGTCAAGGGTGGGGAGCTGCCCAGTCACTATTCGAGGCCTGGTTGCCGCAGCCGCAACCTCGCTGCGAGGTGAATGCCGTGGTCCCCACCTATCTGCCGGTAGCTACGTTCCTCGATATGAACCTCGGCTAGTGGGAACCCTGCGATCGCTGCCCCATCAATCTGTCGGCCTTTGGCCCCAGCTCTTCTAGGCCTGCTGGTTGGCACCTGCCACTGCTGTTCTGTTGGGGGGCACATCTGGAGCCCTCTGCCTTCAAGTTCGGTCACTAGGTTGTCTGCCCTACCTGTTGTAGGCCTGACGTGTCCTCTGGGGCCCCCGCCTGCACTCCAGCTCAATCGGGTGTTGTAGTCTGCCATGAGCACTACCCGGTGCGGACGAGCCGGGCGCAGTCGGAGAAAGTCCTGCATCTCCTCCGCGGTAACATCGACCGTCACCCCGGTGCTGAGTCTGACAGACCCTACCCACATCTCGGTCTGGGTTTCCGAGTGTCTGAGTTTCACCCAGACCCCCACGTGATTAGCCTTTCTTCTGAGGCACTTGAAAACGCCTGTGCGAAATAAGACCCCATTACCTCTCCACTTCCGGAGATCGTCCCGGTACTGGACCAATGTGTAGACGTCATTAATTATGGTTGTCTGCCATCCCGCCTGGGTGCGAGGCAGCTCCTGGAAACATGCAACTGTGTCTGTAGAGGTTTTCGAGATCTCGATAGCTTTCAGTGCGTCTTGCACCGGCTTGCCACCGATGTTCCATGAGTACACTCTGAGTGTCGTGCTGACGGGGTCGCCCTTGGGGCTGGTCACCCTCAGCTTCAAAGGTAGAATGAGTAGAATATGCTTGGGTAGCAGCCTCTACACTCGGATCAGTGTGTATTACGCAGGTAGACCCGGGAGGCCCAGTGTCGGGCTCCGGCTGAATTTCAAAACTTGCATCATTTGCCTCTTCCGAGGCAGGCTCAAGATCAGTCGAGCAGGAGTCTTCTCAGTACTCATGGTACTTCTCCCATCTCTCTTTGAGGTCGAGCTCCGAGCAGCCCAGCATTCTCGCTGCCGTCGACAGGTCGAGCCATGCCTGGGGGGTCTTCCCCTCGCATGCGTTGATCCCGGCGGGTTTTGTCCTGGTAGCACTGCCGAGCAAAGCTCCACGAAGCCATACCGATCCTGCATTCCATTCCACATCGATGTGAGTTCGTTCTTCGGAGTTCACTTCCAGGATCAGTCGCTTCAGCTTTCCTGCGTGGCTCGATCTTAGCCTCTCTAGCTTGCTTTTGGAGAGGGAGCCCCAGAGGTTCTTGTCCAGCTGCATGTTGTCTGCACGCAATCCTGCCCCCCGGATGCTCTGGGCAATTGCAATCATCCTCCTTTTGAGCTCGCTCTCCGATTCCCCGGGTAGCGGGGCAACCAGGCCCAGAGCATTACCTCGGCGAGGTCCGGTGGTAAAGAGATCCTCGAAGTGTCGGTAGACATCAATCTTTTGCAACATCTCCTTCAGCTCAGCCAGCAGGACATCCCGGTGAGTATCCGGCCCCCATCCTCCGAAGATCATCAGGTTCTTGCGAGAATCACGGCCCCGATCATCCCCCGGCACTGCCCCGACCCCCCCAGCCTCTAGGGCAAGGAGGCGGGCCTCCATCTTCTCGCCCTGGTCCCGGAGCTGCTCAATGTCCCCGTGCCGCCGGACTTCATCTCGGACTGCTGTCACCTGCGCCGCTGTGGTCTTCCGGATATCCGAGATGGCAGCTTTGATCTGTTGTTCCTGGTGATTTTGCAGCTGCTGGCTCTGCTCCTGCAACAAGCGCTGCAGGTCGCCCAAGGTGATCCCCTGCTCTGCACGTGCGCTCGTGGGAGAGGTAACCCCCCTGCGCTTTCCCGTCTTGGGTGGACGATCATCTTCCTCAAGGTCTGGGTCATCAGAGTGAACTCCACCAGGCAGGGGCACCCCCAGCCCCGGCGGCATCTTCGCCCCGCGCCTCTCACGGCCCGTCATCCCAGCAGCGCAAGGCAGTGAGGGTCCCAGGGGGAGCTTGAACAGGTCTTGAGCAGGGTTTAGGGTTTAGGGTTTCGGGTTTAGGGTTTACGGTTGAGGCGTTAGGGTTTAGGGTTTAGGTTTCGGGTTTAGGGTTGAGGGTTTTGGTTTTAGGGTTTAGGGTTGAGGAATTAGGGTTTCGGGTTTCGGGTTTAGGGTTTTGGCCTCCAAGCACATTCATGCATGTCCTAGCAAGACAGAGCGCAGGTCTCCAACGTTGCGCGTGCACCTAGGACACAGACGGCGCGGGCACCCTGGACACGGGGCGCGCGTGCAGCTTGGAAGTGGCGCCCGGGGAGTTGGGTTGTTGTTGGGAAGTTGGGATGTTGCTGGGGCTTTGAGGGATTTCGCAGTTGAGGCGATTTGACGAGTCGCAGTGCATTCTCTGCCACCCAGCCACCTTGCGCTTTGGTTTGGCCACACCGCATGGCATCCCACTTCGATTTCAATGCCGTGCAGCCAAGTTTCTGCAGGCTTTGTGTTCGCGAGAAGCACTCTGAAGCCTCGGCGAGTTCGGGGGCGTTTCCCCCTATTGCTAGGCTAACGCAGCTGCAAAATCTTCGACGACTGCGCACAACAGCCATCGCAAGGACAACCACGACCACTACTTTGCACAGGCTCAAACACAAACTTCGGCCGGGAGCACTTGCTTTGCAAGCAAGTTGCGCC